CTGATAATTCATCAACTGTTTGCATATGTGATTTTTGTAAATCTAATAAAAATGTTGACCAAAATGCAAATAATTTAAATTCATCAAATAAAAAAATCCTTCATCGTCGTGCAAAATCTTTAACACCCGAGATTCGTGATAAAGAAAAACGGGATATGACACACATGGCGATTATTCAAATGTTACAAAAAGAATTAAGCCAACTAGAATCATTGCATGAAGATAAATCGAAAGGATTAGAAGAGATCAAAAAAGAATTTGCGAGATTAGAATGTAATCATCGTGAAACATTGGAAATTGTTGAAGAATTAAAAGATGAGATTAAAAGATGCGACTCTCTTCAACAAGTAAACACGAAATCATTAAATACCAATAACCACACTAATGTCTCTATGACAGAAGATGAACTTGAAGAAGATGAATTACTTGTGAGTTTAAGAGAAATTGAACATTTAAAACAAGAACTCCGAGAAACTTTAGAAATTCAGAAAAATCAATTGAGTAGAAATTCTGATGTTGAAGTTAAAATGATAGAAGAAAAACATGAATCATCTGAAGAAGATAATAATGAGGAAATACAAGAACTTCAATTAAAAATTGAAGATCTAACTGCAGAAATTGAAGCAAAAAGTCGTGTGATCATTGCACTTTTGTGTCCTTCCGTAGATACAATTAAAAGATTAGAAGATGAATTACAAAAAGCTCGAGAATCTTATAAAATTTCAGTTGACGAATTAAATTCAATCTCTGAAGATAGTTCACAAGAAGATTTAGCAAACAGATCAAAATTGTTAGAAGAAGAAATGAAAAATCTCGAACTTAAACTGTTGGAAGCAAAAACAATACAAAAAAATTCAACGCCAATGATACAGAAAACAATTGAAACTCTTGAAGCAAATATATCTACACTTCAAGAAGAATTATCAAATAAATCAGAGATCATTAAAAATTTACGAAATGAATCTGAATTGATCAATGAATTGAAAGCAGAAATTGAAACATTAAAATCAGATATAAAAGACAAATATGAGCTCATTGAGACGTTGAAAATAGATCTGATAGAAAAGGGCGCCATTGAACAAAAAATTCGGGAAAAGGAAGAGGAAGCAAATTTATTGAGTATTCAACTTTCAAAATTAAAGAATCGTGATGAAGAAATGGAAAATCAGATTAAAGAATTTCAAATCGAATTAGAAAATTTGGAAAATATAAAAAATGAAAATGAAGTGCTTCAATCAGAATTAGATATAACTAAACAAGAACTTAAAGATGTCAAAGATAAAGAAATTTTTACACTCGAAAGATTGAGAACATTGGATGAAGAAGAGGTTAAACTGAAACAAGAAATACAACAATTACAAAATCTTGAGAAGGAGCAAACTGAAAGAATTAATGAATTAGAAATTAATTTGAAACGTCAAAACGAACTCGGAAATGAGTTAACTAATTTGCAAGATAAATTAAATTTAGCCAAAGAATCAGAATCTTTACATCAAAAGAAAATTTCAGAACTTGAATCTCAACTTGAAATTTCTCAAAATGA